GCACGCAATGCATTATAGTCATTCATTACGAGATAGTTGAACAGGCTCTACTTAGAGCCTCAAACAACTAAATCGTCAATGTCAATGTCAATGTCAAATAGCTCGGCTTCTATTCAAAATAAATGAGTATTTTTTCCATTGAAAGCAAGACAAATGAATAAGCTTTAAGGTGATATCCATAACTCCATGTGCCCAAAAATTGACGAGCGCCTGATTCCACTGCGTCGCAACACAAATTATGTCTATGGTTACGTACGCAGTGGCGTGAAACGCGCATTTCATCAAATATAGATGACCACCACACTGGGGCTTATCATTATTGGTGGTTTTGTTTCGTTACTCACTTACATAGGACGGTGTCTATGGAATGGTGTAGCGGTTAGCAGATGTGTTGTTGTTGTTGTTGTTGTTGTTTTTGTTGTTGTTGTTGTTTTTGTTTTGTAGTTGTTGTTGTTTTTGTTGTTGTTGTTGTTGTTTTTGTTGTTGTTGGTGGTGGTGGTGGTGGACGTGGTGGTGGGTTTTTTTAATAATGGATTTTTTGTCTTAGTTCTCTCAACTCGTCGTAACTTAGAACACATAAAATATTATCCTTGAGGTAAACACTACGAGTTGAATTTGATGATTACAAGGCAGAGAACATTTCTTATTTGATAAGGGGAGCCTACAAGAATGACAAATGATGTCTGTTAGTGTTAGGAGTATTCACTACTTTTCAATATTCACTAGAATAGCTCAATGTACCAATGCTGAGAGAAAAATGAAACCCAATGCCATACATAACTATAAAATGAGAAAGCCTTTCGTCGACAAAATATGGTTCACAGGAGAGAAAGAAGTAAGCTGCTTCTTTAACACTTTTAAAAACGTTTATTATTTCTTTTCTTTTCTTTTCTTAAATTCTCCAAGTCGACTTTTGTCAACTTTTCACTGAACTCCTCCCCCACCCCGCCCCCCTCAGCTGACGTCATGTGTAACCTGTCCCTCAGGAATAACAGTTTATAAATTTGTAACGTCTCTCATTATATCTCTAATCCTATCTCTCACCTTATTTACTCCTATCTCTAATCCTATCTCTCACCTTATTTACTCCAATCTCTAATCCTATCTCTCACCTTATTTAATCCTATCTCTGACCTTATTTAATCCTATCTCTGACCTTATTTAATCCTATCTCTAATCCTATCTCTGACCTTATTTAATCCCATCTCTAATCCTATCTCTAATCCTATCTCTGACCTTATTTAATCCTATCTCTAATCCTATCTCTAATCATATCTCTGACCTTATTTAATCCTATCTCTAATCCTATCTCTAATCCTATCTCTGACCTCCACAGATTGAACCTAAACACGGCTCCGGGGACGGAGTGATCAAGAAGATGGGAGAAGGCCCGTCGATGGGAAACAATAAATTCAAGATCAAATGTGAGTAATTTGTTTTGTTTTAGTAAAAGTTTTAGTGCATTTGCAATACAACAAGGTCATATAAGTGCCGAAGATTAGAGGAGTTACGAAAGAGTAATAAACGCACAATAATGTGATAATTTAAATTGATTTCATGTTATTTTAAAAAATTAAAAACCCTATCGTACGTCCTTTGGTCATTTTATACCCCCTGGGTTGTATTCTTCACCTTTTAGAATACGTCTAGTACGAAGATCTCTTTGAATCTTTCAGTATTTCTCAAAAAATTATTTTGACAGACTGCTATGCTAAGCGTACGGATCTCCACATCGTATGGATACGATAGTAAAACACGATGTACGGATAGGGTTAGATGAAGATGTCTCTAATACAGCCTTATCGACACGTTTAGACGATTTAAGACAAACATATTAAAAAAAAGAAAAAGGGGAGATAGGGACGATAGATGTTTGATAGGAAAGAAGAAGCAAACCACACCTGTTAGAGCACCCGCCAACCACCCACAACATCATGTTTTATCCTCGCTTGATGTCTCTCTGTCGTCAGTTCCCAGAGACGCGTCTCCAAAGGACAAAGCTTTAATCATCTGTGCCAACATTCTGTTCGTAAGTACAAGCGTGTTACGACGTGGTAAAATCAGGCGCTCGTCAATTTTGGGGGCATAATATTATAGGGTTATTGGTATCACCTTAAAGCCTGTTAATTTGTCTTCCTTATTTTGGTTTAAAACAAATATCCGTCTATATTGATTGGAAATCGAAATATTTGAGATTGAAGGGGGTCAAGGTCGCCTGCTTTCAGAGGTGAAATTAGTGAGGAAAAAGCCGTCAAAGTTAAGTAACTTCCATAGTCTGAGAATCCTTGGAAACTAAAAATTTACATTTTTTGTACCTTTAAGCAATGATTTTCAGTTAAATTTACATTAAAATGTGTTTTTAAATGGATGTAAAATGTGCTGAGCCCCCCAAAAAAGATAAAAACTGCCCATTGGCCAACACCCTTCCCCCCCCCCCCAAACATCATTGATTGGGTTGAAATCATCATCATCATCATCATCATCATCATCATCATCATCATCATCATCATCATCATCATCATCATCATCATCATCACCATCATCATCATCATCATCATCATCATCATCATCATCATCATCATCATCATCATCATCATCATCATCACCATCATCATCATCATCATCATCATCATCATCATCATCATCATCATCACCACCACCACCCACACCCCCACCATTCCCTCCCCGGTTCATCTATTTCCTTCTCGCTCTCACAGGACTATCGGTTCCACTACTACGTATCCCCGGCAATGAGGGCAAGGCGACGCTAAAAGAGGGAGCAGGCAGCTCTTTCCTCACCCCTCCCTCTCTCTCCCCTTCTCTCTCTCTCTCTCTCTCTCTCTCTCTCTCTCTCTCTATTTCTCTCTCTCTTTCTCTCTCTCTCTCTCCCCCCTCTCTCTCCTCCCCCCCCCTCTCTCTCTCTCTCTCTCTCTCTCTCTCTCTCTCTCTCTCTCTCTCTCTCTCTCTCTCTCTCTCTCGGAGAACCACAGAAGCTGGGAAAAGAACAGAAGGTCCAATAAGAATATGAACTATCCAGGATCCCTTCAGTGCTCTAAATTAATTCGTATCCTCTCGAAGAAATCTGTTTTTTCGGTGTGAAAATTGCTTCTTCAATCTTGAGAAACTTTCTTAATATGCCACACAGCAAGATAACAGTAGGCTTAATTAAGAATTACAGCAAGATAACAGTAGGCTTAATTAAGAATTATTTCATTATGTCTTGGATATACGGCACTCCCTTCAGAAATAATGATACCACTCTAAGATGATCGTTCACAATACCTATCCCCAATATACTTTATAAAATAGAAGCAACACTCTGGGATCATAGAAAATACTCATTTAAAAAAAATTTTAAGTAAGAGTTTTACGGCACTTGCAACATAATAAGGTCACATAAGTGCCGAAGATTACATGTGTTACAAGAGAGTAACAAACACAAAAAAAGAAGGAGGAGAGATCAGGACAATAGATGTTTGATAGGAAAGAAGGAGCAAACCACACCAGAGCTCCCGCCAACTACCCGCGAAAATACTCATTCTCATAAATATGTGAAAAATAGAAGCAACTCAATATCATTGTAGACACTACTTTTAATATATATCAATGCCCTGGAAAGTCCCGGAAAACCTCGGAATGCCCCGGAAAACCCCGGAAAACGAAACAACTCTGTATGATTAGATCAGACACCACCCGTTAATTATTAATCTCTCGGAAATAAAAGCAAATTCTCTATAATTATAGACACTGCTTTCGGTAACCCATTGCTAAAGGAAACAACTTTTTCAAAAAATGAATACAATTCAGTATAATGATATATAGTCTACGCTACTCATAAAAATTCATCGAAAATAGAAACAACTGCTTGGGGTCTTAGAAACCACTCTCAGAGCCATACCTAATAAATAAATAAATAAATAAATAAATAAATACTTAAATAAATACTTAAATAAATAAATAAATACTTAAATAAAATTAATAAATAAATGAATACATGAATACACAAATAAATAAATAAATTAATAAACTAATAAACTAATAAAGTAATAAATTAATAAATTAATAAATTAATGAATAAATGAATGAATGAATGAATGAATGAATGAATGAATGAATAAATGAATGAATGAATGAACGCTTAAGTGGTGATTCTCCTACACCACCTCAAAATGTTTTTGCTGTTGTTGTTGTTGTTGTTCTTTAACCCATTAAGACACAATTAAGCTGATCTTTTTATGAGTTCTTACAATAAATCTATTGCTTGCGCACCGTTTGTTTTTTTTCTCCCACGTCTGTGGTACCTGTACAAACGTCATGACTCCTGCTGGATTACGTCATATCACGAACTGCTGAACCATCGTGGAGACGACATTTTGATTATTATGTAACTTGAGTGGTTCCTGTGTTTACTATGAAATTGTCGCTATTTTAAAAAATATATAAATTGTTAATCTTTAGCTTTTCCATTTTTTTCATTTTTTCATTTTTTTTTTCAATTTCTAATTGTATTTGTGTTTTTCTATTTTATTTGTATTGTATTTTTTTTGGGGGGAGGGTAAATTGACATCTTTTTTATTTTCTTAATCCACACAAGCAAATGAAGTAAAAATAATAATGATAATAAAGCAAACAAAAACACAAAACAACTGAAGCAGGCTGGCTGAACAACAAGAGTATAATAAGAGTATTATTAAAGTTGTGAGAGCTGGACCAGGACCAGATTATTATTATTATTATTATTATTATTATTATTATTATTATTATTATTATTATTATTATTATTATTATTATTTATTTATTTTTAATATTATTATTGTTATTATTTTTTAAATTATTATTTTGTTGTTGCAATTATTTTTTTAATTATTATTATTATCATTATCATTATTATTATTATTATTATTATTATTATTATTATTATTATTATTATTATTATTATTATTATTATTATTATTATTATTATTATTATTATTATTATTATTATTATTTTGCTTGCATTCGCAGTGCTGATTCTTTGCCCCAGAATACATGGAATTACAAAATGACATGTAAAAATACATCACCTTTATACATCTGGGCCGACTAAACAAAATTTTGACCTCCCTCCTCCCCAGACCTTCCCTCATTTTTTTTTCACGACGAACCAAATGAGACCCAGAGGGTCAGAAACCTTCTGTGTGAATGAGGGGGGGGGGGGGGGATGTTGAAGTTAACGTTTAAGATACTTTTTTCCCTCCATTTTGTTAACATGTGTTTGAAATGGCTGTGATTTTTTAATATCGGGCGTTCTTTTTATTCCTCGGGTGAAAAAAAAAGCCCGATGTGTGCGTTTTTCAATTAGGGGGAGATGGGGTTGTTTTGGGGTTGTTTTTTGGGGGAGTGGGGGTGGAGGGGGAATGTGTTATTGTTCTTTTTTATATTATTGCCTTACTATTATTGACTGTTGACATGCCTTTTTCAACTTTGTGACATTTTTGTTGGTTTCCATAAATATTATATCTTCTATAACTGGTTTTGTTTTCTTTCATGTTGTTGTTATTGTTGTTGTTCTTGCTGTTGTTTTTGCTGTTGTTGTTGTTGTTGTTGTTGTTGTTGTTGTTGTTGTTGATGATGTTGTTGTTTTTGTTGTTGCTGTTGTTGTTGTTGTTGTTGTTGTTGTTGTTGCTGCTGTTGTTGTTGTTGTTGCTGCTGTTGTTGTTGCTGTTGTTGTTGTCATTTGGCTGTCGTTGTCCTATCTATTGTTGCAACAGGGAGTGGCAAGTGGTCGTTTGTACAGGTGATTGTCTTGGACAGAGTGAGGGTCGTTGGAACAGGTTCGACCGCAGTTGTCTCTGGCTCGCGCTATAATGGCTACTTTTTTTGGTCACATGAATCAAATATGGAGCGTAATGTAATTCAAACTGGGACACTTAATAGTCCAAACGGATTAAGCTCATTACATGTACTAGTACGTGTGTATTGAATCGGAATTTTTTGTCAATAGAATGTCTTTTGGTTGTTTAGAACATGTCTTTTCCTGTCTGTTCTTGTCTTATTGTGTCTCATTGATGTCTTATCGTTGTCTTAACGTGTCTTATCGTGGAAAAGAGTGACGGTATTCCATTTGACACTACAGATCGGGATCCATTTGACCACTGGGCTTTCATTTTTACATGTAGATCTTGAACATAGGCACCCTTGCAGGAAAGAAAAGAAAAACGTTCAACCAGCTATGTACTGGCACAATCAGTAGAAAGACCTTCACTGGTAATTTGGAGAGAGCAACGGAGCATCAATGGACGAGTTCGAAATGCAAGGATGTTGCTCCTTGAAACAGTGAACATTGGAACAATCTTAGAACATTGATTTGCATGATCAGATCGGAACTGATAGAGGTGTTAACACATGTGTGAACTGGGTCTATCAAATGCAATTGGACTTAGTCTGGATATCTACCAGATTTGAACATTTAAATAATTTTAAATTTTTTATTTTTGTTTAGTACGGGTTTTACGGCATTTGCAACGCAATAAGGTCATTTAAGTGCCGAATAGTATTATAAGAGGTGTTACAATAGGGTAACAAAAACAAAAAAAAGGAAGAGAGATATGGACGATACATATTTGTTTGAAAAGAAAAAGCAAACCACACTAGAACACTCGTCAACCACCCTCGTTTTATCTTTAAAATTTAGATTTAATGTAGATGCTTTTACGCCCCAATTGACACAATTTAGATAATTTAGGAGGCGGGCTTCGACCCTGCTTGTCAGTGCCTACCAGAAGGGCTGAAAGGGATCCAGAAATCTCTGGCCCCGCCCCCTCACCTCCTCTGACCTCTGCCCTGGGCTCCTGACTCTTTCTGTAGCCTTTCTACTGCTACTCCTTGGCTCCTTCTTACTGCTGTCTTTCATCCACACCCCTGATCGTCTGGTAGGAAAGATCTACGCATAGCCTTCTCGGACAAGAGCGAAAAATCTCGGAGGTCACGTGTGAAAGTTGGGCAAGTTAAAGATTCCTTATTGGTGGTCCAAAATCGATAAGAGTAGGCTTCAGCCTAAGAACTGAAAAATATGTTTAATATGTCCCGCTCGATACAGATTCTCCCTACTCGGGTATCGAACTCGGGTTTAACATCAAAGCGCATAACCGTTAGTCTACAGATGCTGGGTTTTTTTCAGGAATAGGGTGGGGAGGTGGAGGGGGGAGGGGGAGTAGAGTCTTAACTATCCATTAATTAATTTTTTTTAAATTTAAGAAAGAAGAAGAGATAACCTTCACTTTACCTTTCAAAATTTAATACATTAATTAAATTAATTATTGGATGTTTATTTCATTAACGAATTAACGCCAGGTTTGGAGTCCAATTAAACATAATTTAACTTCCTAGCCTACACGCGTAGCAAGCGAACACAATATTCTCTTTGTTTTCTCCAAAGAAAAAGTATATGCCCACACACACACCTCTAAGTACTTAAGAATATCCGTCTTGTAGGCCTAGTCCATAATTATAAATCTGTCCGTCCACTTTTGAATGGATCGAGAAGACATGTAGCACGCACAAAAGGTGTGTGTGTGTGTGTGTGTGTGTGTGTGTGTGTGTGTGTGTGTGTGTGTGTGTGTGTGTGTGTGTGTGTTTGTGTTTGTGTGTGTGTGTGTGTGTGTGTTTGGTCAGGGGCGGGGCAAATGAATGGGAAAGGTGGTCTGCAAATTCTCTGTTTGCGAAAGACAGTCCACGGATTGTAAAGGAAACATTAGCGAGGAGTCTTCTTTTTACGGCGCTCGCTAATGTCATATGAGCGGGCGGGACACATTTTCAGTGGGTAGGAGATTTTCAGTTTTGCCCTGGTGGCGGCCGAAGCCTTCTCCATATGATTTTGGACAGCCAAGGGACCTTTAATGTGCGCAACTTGAACAGAAAGTGGAGACGAAAGCATGCACATGACTGAATATTGTAAGAGAGCAGGAAATGATCGTGAAAGGAGACAGTCTTAGAGAAGAACATTTTCCATCTCTATCCGGATTCGAACTGGGGACCTATTGAATGAGAGGCTAACAGAGATCGAGCTCCCTCGAATTTCGATTCAAGGGAGAAATTTCTAACGCTTGTTCAGTCCAAAGGTTTTTTTTTTTAATGTGCTCTTGTTGTTGTTGTTGTTGTTGTTGTTTTTAATGATTATCCTTGTTATACATGTTTTGGCAAATAATCTGACACACTGCAATTAAAGTCGTTAATTAAATTTAAGTAAGAGCTCATGAAAAAAACCAACAACAAATAAGATTAAAGTAGGCTTACGCCTAAGGGCGCCTTTATATCTCCACTCGCATACCCAGAATCTTTTCATCATCATTGACCTCATTGTCAAAATGTTTAAAATCCCGCTGAAACTGAGACTAAGCAGACAAATCTGTGAAACTAAATTCGTGTGAAGAACAGAACATTCAGATAAATCTGGGTTATTGAAAAATTCAAAATGGCGACTGCAGGCGAAGATACAAACGCTAAACCTCAATTCGTTTTGCAAACTCAGAATAGTCAAGATAATCAACAACAGATGCAGGAAAAGTCAGCAGGTGTTCCCCTTAGTGATTTTGTTTTACAGTTGGAAGATTACACTCCCACAGTAAGTGTAAAGACTAAGAACTAGATCTAGAATGCAGAACCTTTCTCCACGATCCATATTTAGACGCCGTTTGAGGCGTTTGTTTACATCCACTCATCCAGAGAGAAGAAATCCGGAAGTCTTGATGACCAAGAACCTACCTTAACGGAACTGTCTTAACGGAATCTCCCTGCTCCCCCCTTGATATATTTCTCATTGATTACCTGTATAAAACGGAAACCTGTCTAACGCGGTAACGGAAAGAAAAACCCGCTCCCTTCCGAGGGCTTCACCCGCTTAAGACAAGTTAAGACGGACAATGCCAATGCTTTGTGCCGTTCAGCCCTGATTTGAAACAAAACTTGCAAGTTTGGTTCCACTGGCTCTAAACAACACTATGACCTTGTCGCTGGGCGAGGAAGGGGAGTCGGGGTGCAATTTGGGGGTAGATGTTACCCCCCATTCATTCATGTGAGCCTTGACAAGGCTTGAGCGATGCAGATGGTCAGGGTGGCGGTGTGGGCGTGGGTGTGAAATCTCACGGCTGCCCGTGAGAGTGCTTAGTAGTAGCGAGCCACTGCGTAGTCAGAAGCCAGAGGTGTGAAATCAGATTGACCAATGCTTGCCACTGCCACCCTGTGATCGTACGGCCAGCCGAGAAAAGTTCCTCGTGTTACATGATGGCAGTGAGGGGTGCATTGCTGTGCTTGTTGTTACACCTGTTGGTGGGGCTAAGAGTGGAAGCAATGGAGATGTTCAAACGTTTCTGCCGAAAAAGCACCATTCTTTGCTTGAATTTTGATTTTCTGGCCTTAGTGTTTCCTTCCATTCACTCATGCTTAGACGGCTTAGTGAGAACAGTTCACTCATCAACGATTACCTGGCAATACTTGAATACAGGGTCTGTGGCATTCAGCTTTTGACTTTCACGAACTAAAGGTTCTACAAAATCACCCTAGATCTAGATCTCTAGATCTCTAGACCTAGACTAGATCTGATCGAATCACGATTTTCTGGCACTCGTTATTAAATTGAATAATAATAAGGCCGGCTCTATTTCTCAGAACGCTTGGGAAAGTACTACTTGAACTCAATTTCTCTGAGCGGTTTCCGTTCTCGAGACTTTAATTATTTGCGAATGGAGCAATGGAGGGGGGGGCTCTCTTGGCCTAGAGATTAAGGTGTTGGCCTCTCATTCAAAAGGTCGCGGGTTCGAATCCGGGTAGCGACCGAAAAATTTTCTTCTCTAAATTTGTCTCCAGACTTACACCTCATTTCCTGCTCTCTAGCAATGTTACTGTTGTCTGCTTTCGTCTCCTCTTTCTGCCCCCATCCCCTCACCTCGTTTGCCCCTTCCTCTGGGCTCGTGATTCTTTCTTCAGCCTTTCTACTGCTACTCCTTCGCTTTTTCTTACTGCTGTCTTTCAGCCACACCCCTGATCTACTGGTAGGAAAGATCTACACCTAGCCTTCTCGGACAAGGGCGAAAAATCTCGGAGGGCCCGTGTGCAAGTTGCGCGCGTTAAAGATCCCTTGGTGGTCTAAAATCGAAAAGAGTAGGCTTCGGCCGCCACCCGGGCAAAATTCAAAATTTCCTACCAACTGAAAATATTAGGTGTATCCCACTCGCTTATATGACCTTATATGCAGTTGCCAGCGCCGTAAAACATTTTACAAAAACAAAGGAATGGAGTGGCCTGCATGTGTATTACATGTGTGTGTGTGTGTGTGTGTGAGAGAGAGAGTGTGTGTTGGTGTGGGTGGGTGGGTGTGTTTGTGTGTGTGTATGTGTGTGTAATGTGTGAATGGGGCGGCTGGAGGTTTTTTTTTTTTTTTTAGTCTTTGCTTTAGGGGTGACTAATTTTATGCAAAATAGGTTACTCTGCCAAAGTCGAGCAGTCTTGTTTCCTCGCAGTACCTTTTGAAGGCATTTTCAAATGAAGTATAGATCTAGATCTAGATCGGGAACATTGCCCCAACCACAATTGAAGTATCTCTGAAAATTTAGCTAAAAATCTCTAGCTATAGAAATTGAATTTGATGCAAAATATGCTTCTTCCCAGTCCTTGCAGAATGGCAGAATGAAAGATTACGCCGAAGTCTCGCAAATAACCAGAAAATTTCGAGAACGGAAGGCGTTCAGAGAAATAGAGATCAGATTTGTTTTTCCGAGCGTTAGTAATTAATTTTAAAAAGTAATATAATAATAATAATACGCAGTGACGGTGACATTAGAATCTTGATCTACGTTTACGGCCTCCTGATGAATGTAGATCCAGGTCTAGAATCTAGATCTAGTTTGCAATAAATAACAATCGAAGACGCCCACCCATTTGTCTAGGAGAAAAGTGGCCGTATAAGACAGGTGGTCCCTCTCATTGTGACATGATAGCTTGAGTTTGTCTATAAAATGATTGTATACTTATTTTTATTTTCCCTCGGATACCAGACTCCGTGACAGGTTATGTCTGAGTTTATCTGTAAAACGATATAAATTATTTTTTTTTTTTCCTTCTGATCCCAGACTCCGTGACAGGATATGTCTTGAGTTTATCTATAAAATGATATTTTTATAATTATTTTTATTATCCTTCAGATACCAGACTCCGTGACAGGTTACTATCTGAACAGGGCAGGTTTTGATTCCAGTGATCCTCGGATGTAAGTACTTTTTGCAATTAGTTCTCCATTGAATTTTGAGAATTTATTTATATAAATATGTCACTTATGTGTCATGATATGGTGGAATCAGACGCTTGTCAGTTTTTGGGCATGGAGTTATTAGTAGTGTCATCTTAAAGCTGGTTCATTTGTCTTGCATTTGGCGAACAAAAATACTCATCTATCTTGAATAGAAGTCAGAACATTTGCAATAAAAGGAGGTGGGGGTCGCCTGATGTCGAAGGTAAAATTAGCGAGAAAATGGCCGCCAAAGTGTGGTAATTTTCGAAGCTTGAGTGTTCTTGGAAACTGTAAATTTATGTACAAGTATCTTTGATCAAGGTTTTTCTGGAAAACCCACACAGAAAAGTGTTTTTAAATAGACATAAAAAGTGTTGAGTTAAAAAAAAAAAATTACCCAACTGCCAGAAAAAATGCCTATATTTCTCTGGTTTCATTATTTTGATGAGCGCCTGATTTCACCACGCTGAAAACATTAATTAAAGGAACAAAATATGTCTTATTTCCAGTTTTCAAAGACTCTGGCTATTGGAGTTACCAAACTTTGGTGGCCATTTTCTCGCTAATTTGACCACTGAAATCAGGTGACCTCACTTCCTTCAATTACAGGTATTTTGAGTTCTATTCAAGACAAATGGATATATATTTATTTCATTGGAAGCGAGTCAAACAAATTAGCTTTCACCTGATACGAATAATACACCAGATGCCCAAAAATTGACGAGCACCTGATTTGACTGCGTCGTGACACATTTAATTGTGTCGTCTTCCTCTTATTATCTTTGATAACGATGCATTTCCCGTTCCCTCTCACAAGCCTTGCTGGTTTTACTGGGTTTTTTTTTTTCTTTTCTTCTTTTCAGCGCACGACTCATTTCTTTGGCAGCTCAAAAGTTCATCTCAGACATTGCTAATGATGCCTTGCAGCACTCCAAAATGAGGTCATCTGGGCAAAGTTCAAAGAAACAGGGGAAGGTAAGAGAATTATAAAGCACAGTATAGTCAAAGATTCTGTAAAACAAGATGGTTCACTCCTCTCTTTTTTTAACCAAATTAAAAGGTGTCCTCAAAATCTGGTGGCGTCCTCTTCGAAAAAGCCCCCGCTTTACGAACAGTTACCCTACTTGTGTGGGAAAAAATGAAAGTGAAACTAACAAATTTTTTTATAAATTATAATTAAGATTTCAGAACCTTTGTGAATGGTTATGCCGACAAAAAATCCTCTTCAGGTGGAAGGGGCGACTGTTTTCGTCGTTCAATTTGGCTTTAGAATGAGAGGCGAGAGGTCATTAAAATAACGAAGTGTATACAGACCCGGTAACCGGGAACAAAGTCACGGAGTATACAGACCCGGTAGGGGAACTCTTTTGTGATTTCGGAAAGTTTCAGCGCCCAGACCCGGTAGTGTGTGTGTGTGTGTGTGTGTGTGTGTGTGTGTGTGTGTGTGTGTGAGTGAGTGAGAGTGAGTTAGAGAGAGAGAGAGAGAGAGAGAGACTGCTCGATTGAAATTAAATGACATTGTTCTTTTCTTGAAATTGTGATTCCCCCAACTCCAAAACGGATGAAAAACTATCGTTCATCGAAAAGACATCGGCAATCTTCATTTAGATCTAGATCTACATCTAGATCTAGGCTAGCCTCGAAACTAGACCAATGATTTGTCTGTCTGTCTAGATCTAGACCTAGGCCATAGATCTTGAAGAACCTAGGTCTACCCTGAGCCAAGAGGGCGCTGAAACTTTCCGAAATCACAGATTACTGCAGATCCTTTTCCAGTGGACTGTTTTGCTAACACTGAGACGGAATCAATCAGTGACCCTAATCCCTAAAACTATGGGGGTGGGAGGGAGGGAGGGAGGGGTTGGCTATGTGTTGAAAAGTTTGTGTGCAGGCAATCGATCATACATACAAACAGGGGAAATGTCTTAGTTGAGACCAATTTGAATAATTTGACGGATCTAAAGCAAGTTCATGCGCTGCAAAATCGCTGTTATATCTGAGCCTGCTCAAATTGAACCTTGTTATAGCCAGGTTCATAATACTTACACTTATAGTGGGTGGTTGGCGGGTGCTCTGGTGTGGTTTGCTTCTTCTTTCCTGTCAAACATCTATTGTCTTTATCCCCCCTCCTTCTTTTTTGTGTTTGTTACTCTCTTGTGACACCTCTAATCTTTGGCACTTATATGACCTTATTGTGTTGCAAGTGCCGAAAAACACTTACTAAAACAAAACAATTACTCTTATAAGGGAACCCCCCCCCCCGGGGATTTGATTTGTAACTGTTGTATCCAAGTTCCTGTAACAGCAGAGGCTGTTACAAATTTACTGGACTGTACTAAAATTAAACTAAACAGAAAGCTCTTTACCAGTGTTACCGGAAGTAAGTGGTACCCTTCGCCACCTTTTGACTGGTCTTTCTTTCCGTACATGTAATGTGTTTCTTGGTCTTTTGCTGTTCTTTCAGGACAAGAAAATGACCCTCCAGATGGAAGACCTCACCCCAGCCCTTGCTGAATATGGAATCAACGTGAAGAAACCCATGTATTTCATTTAGCCCCTTTTCGCTGTAAATATAGGTTGGAATGGGAATCATGTTGGGGATCAATTTTTAAAAAAATGAAGCTTGAATGGAAAGGCAGCGTTTTGAGTGGGTGTACGAAGTTGTCGGACAGTTGTGCATGTGTGGTGGGTGTTCATGTCAAGGAAGAGGAGAGAATGGGTTGAAAATGAAAAGATGGTTCTGAATGAGGGAGTGAGTCAAGAAAATAGTTCTGAATGCCTTTTAAAAAAAAAAAGTTGTGCATGTGGTTGTCTTTGAAGATTTGAAAATGAATATATGTCAGAAGTGTCTATGGCAGTTCCGTTGTCCCTTTAAAATGAAATAAAACTTTTATTTGTAAGATGATGTAGGCTATTTTTTAAATTTACAGACAGTGGCATCTCGTTACCTTAGAATGACAAAGTTCTATCTGACATTTTGGGCCGTTTTGAGTGAGTTACTAAAACCACAATGTCAGAAACCAAATGTTCTTTCTGCTCTATCAAAATCGTACGATTATTCCGAGTCGTTATCAAGGTATTCAAAAAACTGCATTCGAAAAAGCTTGACATAATGTGAAACTCAAAATCCTTTGACGTCAAATTTCTCAAAACTAGGTATTGAGTAGATAGAATTTTGTATTTCCGAGGTAGCGATCTGCTTAAACTGATACAAAAACAGTGGTGAACCAAAAGAAAAGAAAAGCCCCTATTTTTTTTTCTCTTCTATTTGAGCAACGTCGCTAAACCAAAGAAAATTCAGCAGTCCTGCTGAATTTTGTTTGAGCGGACTCCACCTCCTTACTATCTTGCCGCTGAAGTGGATCCTCCACTTTTTAGGTTACGGTATACTAATTTAGGTTATATGAAATTTTCTACTTTTTTATTTATTGTTCCGTAACATCTTTAGAAAATTCTTGATTTTTGGACAACTTTCTTGTGCCTGGTACTGATGATATGATGGAATGAATGTTAATTACAGACAGAAATGATGATAGTGGAAGGAAGATACGAAAAGGCTGAAAATGTAAAGTTTTGTATAGTTTGAATAGAAAAATTGTTTGCCTGTGGGATTAAATTTGATGTAATGGATGTCCTAAATTAGTGACTGAGTGAGTGAACCCTGTACATAATGGAATGGAAGAAAGCTTGTTTTTGGAAAAGGAGAAAGATTGTGTAATAAATAGAATGGATCTGAACTTTTGTTGATTTTGTTTCTTGTGAGACCTTTTTAAATTTTAAACCAAATCTGTAAAGAGCATACTCTCGTTCAACAGCAGGCTCTATGCGCTTTGCACTATATTATTACCCCAGAGCACTCAGAAATATCCTCAGCTTCCCAGGAAGCATACAGAGCAAGCTGCTGATTAAGCGCTCAAAACACACCAAAAAACTTACAACTTTTCCTCTCTCTGTTGTTACTGTCTGTCTTTCTGTCTGTCTGTCTGTCTGTCTGTCTGTCCGTCTGTTTGTCTGACTATTTCCTAGCACCTGCTTCCGCAAT